GCCAAATACGCCGGTCCGTACGTAATAGGCCGAATCGTCACCCCCCGTTATCTAACGATTTAAAAGATAAGAGGGGACGATGGCTTAGGCACATACATGTGCAGGACCTGAAGCCAGGGAATGGGGAAGATGCCCCTACCAAATAGGCTGACCAGACCACCGTGACGGGGATGCTAGAATATAAGGAGCGTTTCTGAGAATCTTCGGCCTAGAAAGCTAGAACTCGCATCCAAGATGACTAGCTCCTGGAACATCCTCGATGAGATCGAGATCTTGCTGGCCGACGAGCCAGCACCGAAGCCAACGCCAAAGCCTGCTCCGAAGCCGTCACCACCGGCACGCGTGATCCCCAAGGTGGGGACCACGATCCAGCGATCCGACCAGCAGCAGCAGAGGAAGGCTGCCTTCTTGGCCTCGCCACCGCCACCACCACCCAAGGGGCGGAAACGAGGGCCACCGGACCCCGCGCGTACCATCACGCACACGGCGCCGCAGGAACGTAGGCCGACCAGACCGGCGGCCATGCCGACCACCGCACCGCCGGGACCAGCCGCTACCAGCAGACGGCCATCATGGGCCGTTGAAACTCGGCCGTCAACGGCCGCCGCCGCACCGCCGACATCACCAGCCGCCGCACGACGGCCGCTACCAGCCGCTGCACGGCCGCCACCAGCCGTAGCACGGCCGCCACCAGCAGCTACCAGGCCACCGCCAGCAGCTACCAGGCCACCGCCAGCAGCTACCAGGCCACCACCAGCCGCCGCACCACCTGCGCCACCAGCAGGAAGGGCACCGGATCCGCCACCTTTTATGGTGGAATTCGCGCCAAAGGAATTCGCGGCGATTCCTTACTGGTCCGTTGTAGTCTCGCGTGGCTACAAGTTGCGAACAGCGGACGGACGGCGCTACAAGCTCCGCTTCTCGCGAGATGGGCGGCTTATCAAGAGCCGTCCACAGCCGCCGCAGGCACCCACCCCCGAAAACCGGGGGGTGATGTAACGATGCAGCATGCATCGTCACGGCTACGGACCGAACAT